AATATACTCACAGAGTGAGGGCACTAATGTGCCTAAACCGACCATGAACGAACAAAGTGAAGTGAATTATCAGGGGAGAAGAAAATTTTTATCCAGTATATAGAAAACAGAGTTATGGATTCCCAATTCGTCATGCAGAAAAACTCAAAAACAAGATTACCTCCAATGAAACTTTTCCTTATGGATATGGATGAGGCCACAAAGCAGAAATCATCCCAAGTTCAACTTTTTTGCCAATTCTTCAAAGGTTTGTCCCATCTAAATCTAATTGATAAGGGGTCATCAGATGATCTTCAAATATCAATAACCACAAAGTGCTTTTTTATTACCTCATAAATTTTTTTTGCTAGAGGTTCATAATCATCATGTGTATCTTTAAGAATTCACTTTATGCTATCTAAAGTTCCACATCCACGATGCAATGAAATGTATTTAAGATTTCCGCGTATATTTGGATGGGTTTCATAAAAACGTTAGACAATATAAATTGAGCTAATTCCATCATGTCTGCCTGACCTAAAGAAAGGAACGACTTTTAGTTGAGTTGCAAGAGGTTCGCCAGCAAGATCATCAAAGACTATAACAGTAAATTGGCCAGTTCTTTTGAAAGATGAAATATCAGGTAGTTTTTCAGGCGCAATCAGCTTGAATCTCACATTTTCATACCATGGAGCTTGCTTATCCATGGCTATAAACTCATAAAAACATTGTACTGCTTCCCATAACTTTTCATCTTGGTGTTGCGCAACAACAATTAGATCATCACATGGAATATACCTTTCACCAAAAATTTTGCTCCCGCCTTTTGGTACTTTATGACCACGTTTTTCACCAGACATCCATGGATATATTTTTGGATATTTGCTTCCTAGGAGCAGATGTACTACCATGCTTGTCTTTCCAGATTCAGAAGTGCCCGCAACTAGTAGTCTAAATGGATGTTTAGGAGTGAATGGATTCTGTTTTTTCAAAGGTATAGTTTTATCTAATTTGCATAGTTCATAATACTCCATAGTATTTTGAAAAGTAGGATAATTATTTAAGAAACATATTTTGTTAACCGCAATGCCAAAAAATAAATTTTCTTTAAGTGATACAATGATGATAGCAGAATCTTATAGAGGAAAATGCCTTTCCAAAGAATATATCAATTGTGAAATTCTAATGCTTTGGGAATGTAGCGAATACCATCAATGGAAGTGTTCTTTTCGATCTATTAAAAATTGCCATTCATGGTGTCCTTACTGCTTAAATAGAAAACTCAATATTTCAGTGGCCAAAGAACTGGCATGTGCTAAAAATGGATGGTGTATTTCTGAGAATTACGTTAATATTAACTCACCTCTTTTATGGGAATGTAAAAATAGTCATCGGTTTCTCCTTTCTCTTTCAAATATCAAAAATGGAAAAAATTAGTGTCATGAGTATATGAAACTTGGACTTGAATTTGCCCAGAATCTTGCAAATAAAAGGGGTGGGACATGTCTTTCTAGTTCTTATCATA